ATGTATTTGGGCTACAGTGATGGAAACTGCACACAGGTGTTCCTCTTTCAGTCAGTTCACCGTGGTAGGTGACCCTAAGCTTGGTAGACTGACAAGGAAATAGGGAATCCTAATTTTGTTACTTTTGCAATGAAGTCTGGAGGAATCTTGCAAAAATCAGCTGCTTAAGCATGGCCCTGTGTTCAGGGCCATGAATCTCAGGTGGGTTATTCCTATCACACTCCAAATAGATGGTGATTAGGAAGTCATTTGGGCCAAGCACCTGAAATCATAAGCAGTTAGACCCAGGAGCTGGTACAACTTGGGTTTCTATTGCAAATTTGAGAAGAGCTGCCAGTTAGAAAATTATATTCTTTCCCACACTTCCTTTTGTTTTTTTCTGATGATCAGGGTGACATAAGAAAAGAAAAGCAGTTTGTTTTTTAGAAAAAAATCTATTCTTTCTTCCAGGACTCTCTGCCTGGTGCTGTTCTTATTGAAAGTAATCGCATAATTACCACTAAATTAAAAGGGGTGAAGAGGAGGCTCTCAGCCCTTACAGGAATCTACAGCAGAGTGAAGCTTCTGGTGCCAGCACTTAACCTTCCAATTTCAATTGCCACTTTGGGGTGCTGGAGCAGGTCCTCCCTGTTTAAGGAAGGGAGCAGGCTCTCCATTTTTAGATGAACAAAGAGGGATGGCTGCTTTCTTACTTGTTTGTTGTAATTACTTTTAAGTGCCTGTTCTGATCTCTTTCTTCAGTTTTACAATATTAAAATCCACAATATGAAGCTCAATGCTTCCTGAGAGAGAGCTTTAATTCTCACTCATGATAATAATAGTAATAAGAACAATACATTTTAATGAAGTCAAGGATTTGGGTTATCTGGTATTTCCATCTGCCTTGCAGCCAGAGCATCCTCTTTTGCAAACTATTACATTTGGTGTTTTTAAGGTTTTGGCTTTGCTGCATTTACCTTTGATTTCGCAAATGATTGACATGTTTTCCTTCAAAGTAGCAGATCTGCCAGTTTAGTAACTAGGACCATCATAGTTTCAGTTATAATTTTCCCCTCCACGGATCTTTAATTTAGGTTCCTTCATTTTCTGTGCACGGATCGCTGTAGAAGAGGAACTTAAACTGTTCTGGCTTTCTAGGTCCAATTGCAACAGTTCTGACTCCAGAGATGGTAACATAAGGTTTCGGTGTCTAAGGCAGAATCACAAGTACTTTCCAAGGAGAATAAGCTGTTACGAACCCTTTTCACTGCTTTTGTGGCCTGTATTGAAAACAAGATTATGTCTTCATTGTAACTAAATGTTAAACTGAGTAAAAGGTTATTCCAGTAGCCATAATTGTGTGCTGATTGACATACAAAATCTGAACCAGATTTTCCAGAGGTGACATGTTCCTATATATATATATACATATATATATGTATATATATATAAAGATATAAAAATAGGACTTCATGCTGCTACTCAAAAAGATTTAATCTGTCTGATTTAATCTGGGTGTTTTTCTCACTGGGCTGGACAGACTATATACGTTCAAGCCCCAAGCACTGCAGCAATATAGCAGAAAATGGGCTGACGCTGCATGCAGCCTGTACAGTGAGGTTTCTGCTCCTTATTCAGTCAAAATTGTTTGTGCCCTTGCGTTTGCGTGTATGGTGCCTTGTTTTAAAGCTCCTCCAAAGGGTGCTGTATGTCTAAATACAAGGGACTGGGACACAGTCTGAGTTCTCTGTGAAAGGTTTCAGAGCAGAAAAAAAATTAAGTGTGGAAAAGAAGTTCAATTTGGTCAAAAAATATCTGAGAGGAGAACTGTGTGAGGTTTATAAGTACAGTTCCTTCATTGTATCATAAATTTTAGTCTATCTGCAAAATTACACTAGAGAAAACCAAAACCAGAGGCAAGCATAGCAAAAAAAAAAAAAAAATTTACTAACTTATCAGAGTTGTGCTGATAAGAGAGATTGAGAAAACTTTGATTTTCCAGGAGGTTAAAGACTGTCCTATCTCCTGAAACATTACTCATGCCAATGCTCACAACTCTTTGGGGAACTTCTTTGGTGGGAGGAAAGACACTGGATTCAAGTCTCCAACCAACAGACACAGTGACTTTTAAGGCTGGGAGAACTCTTATGCCCACAGAGGGAATTTGAGAATATTCAGGTTCAATGGGATGACTGTTTCAGGGTTTGGGTTGTTTAAAATTATGTGAGTTTTACTTTCCAAATTTGGTTGCAATAAATGCTTTGAAATCAAATATTGTTTATTATTTGTCTCTAAAAACCAACCAGATTTACTAATTACAAAACCTGATAAAGATAAGAAGGAAGTTTGAGATAAGCAATAACATTATAATTGCAGGCCACTTTATACATGAAAGCCATTGCTTAGTTCTTAAACATAAGCATCAGATTGTAAACCAGATCCCATTAATTTGGTGATGACAGTTGTTTTTCTTTATTATGGATTTGTGTTCCAGAATTTTAATTTACAACCAAATTACTAATCTAACATTAGCATTCTGAAGATGATATTAAAAAGTTAATTGAGCCCAAATCTAGTGGAGGTAAATTCAATGCCTGAGTCTGCAGGCATCCCTAAGAAATAACTCTGATCCTGTTCATCCCAGAGGGCTGTACTGATATGAGTACCTTAGCCAAAATACCTACTTTATAAACTGGCAATGCAAAAGTGTACTCCTTTTCTTATGTTCAAAAGCCACTGCTACTCTCTAATCAGTTTCTAAAACCTCGACGTTTTCTTCTGTGTCTCTATCTTCACTGGGTAAACTTTAACTCTTGAAAGTATCTATATATGTGAAGCATAGTGATGTGTGTTCATAGAAAAGAAAAGTAGATCTTGTCCCCAGTTCACTCAAGTATGCATTGCTACATATTTCTTTTTTAAAATATGCATCACTTATCAAAACTTCACCAGTGTGTTGTCTGTAAACTGGCCAGAGTATTTGACTGTGTCCTGAGGAGGAGTAGATAGGGCCTTGACCTTAAATTGCTTTGAAAGAATCCTGCTGGGTTGGGTCTGCAGAGCTCATTTGCTTCCTTGCTGTCTGCTGTTTGTGCTTAATTAATATATTTGAAACTTCTAAGGATGTCATGGCTGCAAGGGTAACCGTGGTGACTATGCTTACACTATTCCTTCTCAGACAGTGTATGGTGTGAGCATGATCCAGAACCCTTCAGCTTATCCATCCACACAAATATCCTGCTCCCGCACCTGACCCAGGGAGACTGTGGGACAGGATGCCCCTGCAGCAGAAATCTGAATATATTGAGAATGTACAGTGATACAGTGGGCCTGTGAGAAAACCTCTCTGTCCTTTCAGAGCATCTAGGCAGAACTGTGTAGAGTCCCAGGTGGGCTGTACTGGTGGAGTAAAGCCTTGCTGGTGAGCCCAGAGTTGTAATTTTGGAAATAACTGTCCTTGTGCGTACCCAAAATTTGGCTTATGCTGTCTCAACTTACTGAAATTAAACCAAAGCTGTATAAATACTGGAGGTTTTATATATGCGTGGGATTTTGGTAAGAATGGTTCTGTAATTCTAACTTAACTATGCTAACAAGGCTAAAGAAGTTCTACCTATCTTTCTTTGGTCAGGACTCCTGAGAGACAATATCTGCCCTGCATTTGTTGCCAAAGCTCCGGTGAAGCAAGATTAATACATCAGTCTGGTTAGGGCGTGATAAGGGGGAATGGGTTGAGAGAACTGCCAGGAGAGTGTAGCAGATTTGTTCATGGAGGGACTGGCCAGGGATGGTTCAGTCAGGGGGAGAGGGGCTTTTTCAAGGGTACTAACTTCATAGCAGTGCCCTCTCCACCTGAGACAAGTGTGAAATATTCTCTTGCCACCTTTGGTATTTCAAGTGTGAAATGCTCTCCAGATAACCTTGGTATTTCAAGTGTCATTTACATATCTGAAGTGAGGTGACAATGCAGCTAACCCCGGTGCAAGTTCTCCTGGAATTTTATTTAAGCTATTTTTTCCACAGAAAGTTTGGTCTTTATAGCAAATGCAATTTTAAAGAAATCAATATAAATACAAGTCATCAAACACAAAAACTAATAGTTCATTTCAAATATTCTTGTCCCGGCTCTTTTTCTTGATTTTTCCCTCCGACTTTGTTCAAAGATTGTAGAGTCACATTTTTTCTCTCATGCAGTAGTTTAATACCTTGTACCCCTGTGCTTGGAAGACTTTATAGCAGTTCAAGCTCTGGAGCTTCAGTCACGCACAGATTAAACAAATGGGAATGATGGAGCTTATCCTGTTCAGCCGCAAATCTTTAAATCTGACTTTAGCGTGCATGTGCCACTCATGGTATAATGTGGAATTGGGGCAGTTCATGATGCCCAGAAAAGAATGACCAAGTTATTCCCATGGGCACAGATTTTGTTTTGTCCCCGTGGTCCTGTTATTGAAATGTGTGTGCACACAACAAAAACCCAGTTTCTCCTGCACACAGCCTGTGGCATGAAGCCTGTGCATAGTGCTAGGCTCAGGTGGGACAGCATTTTCATATGGAGCAGTTCAGTACATAGTATAAAGATTTATTAAATTTTTCAAGGGACAATTTCATTTTTGAGAAATGCTGGTTGTTAAAAAGGCACATCTCACAGAAATGCTGAGGTACTTGGTTAAGTAGGTTTACTGTAGTCTCAATAAAGCAAGAAAACAGTTCAAATAGTGATAAAGTATTATGCACTTTTAATTTTAAGCGGAGAGGGTAAAATGAAGGTGTATCTGGAGACAGATAAGGTCTGCTTTTTATTATTAAAGCAATTGTAAGAGATATGACAAGTATTCATTGATTTAGTTCAGCTTAATTAGTCAATGTTGGGTTAAAACTTCTGTCCCTGTGACTTCTGGAGCTGCATGTTGCAATCTGTATCACTCCATTAATATGGTATCCTAGCGAGCATGTTTCCTATTTTGCTCCCATGGGTGAGATTTAGAGGTATGATGGAGCACTGTTTTGACTTCTCACAGGATGAGCTGGATGAACTTCGGGCTGAAATGGAAGAAATGCGTGACAGCTACTTAGAGGAAGATGTTTACCAGCTGCAGGAGCTCCGGCGAGAGCTGGACCGGGCAAACAAGAATTGCCGCATTCTGCAATATCGTCTCAGGAAAGCAGAACAGAAAAGCTTGAAAGTTGCACAAACAGGCCATGTGGATGGAGAGCTCATTAGGAGCCTGGAACAAGATTTAAAGGTGGGTTGAGCGATTCATATACGCAGCAAAAGAGAGCAGACTGTGATGTGGCTCTTTGCAATGGAAGTGAGGGTGACACATGAAACAAGCAGTAGTTCTCCAAGTGCCAGGACCAATTTCCTTCTGCTGTGGTGGAGAACAAATATTAAACTTATCATCATAAAAAGATGTGTCACTGAGTAAAAAAACATGTGTTTAGATTCAAAATAAAAGAAAGTCAAGTTACATTTAAGCCTTTGAAAAATTTAAAGGATCTTTTTTTACTGAAAACCTTAGCTTTTCAATACTGTATAAACAAAACCTGATACCTTTTTCCAATCCATGCTGTTTCCTTCCTTTTCACTTCTTGCTTATTGCAAGTAACTTAAAAAAAACTAGTCAAAGCTGCATTTCTTAGTGTCTTATGGGTTACTTGTAACATTAACAGACATAATATTTTAGTAAGACAGAGAGAGAATCAAAATGCTCTTTCCATAAAAGCACAAATCCCTGTAAAAATAATATTCATAAACAGCTTTTATATTTTTCAGAAGTGTTTCCTTCAAGACCAAATTAGGCTTTGTATAGTCATCATGTTTGTCTAGTTTCTACTTTCTTAATATTGCTATCTTGTAGCTGTTTTTAAAATACGTTCTGTAGAGAGGGACTGCTTGCCACTGGAATTATTAAGCATTTTGTACTTAAAAATGCAAAACATAAAATCTTCAGAAATTGGAACGATTTGTTGTCAGCAGTGGAAATGAAAGTAACACATCAAGTCATCAAACCTTTTAAAATATCAGACCTAATTTTGTCTTTTATGATAAAAAAACAAATTATAACCTTATATAATTGTATATATGTTGTAATTCCATAATTCATCAATTCCATAATTCATCTTTTTGCATGATGTATCACCTTTCCAAATGTTTTTGGAGTATATGTCTATCCTTGTTAGGCTGGACTCAGAAAACCTAAGCTATCATATATTTCTGTGCTTTCATATCACTCTTGCCTAGTTGTGATTGCTGTTAGAGCAACAAATTTGGGTGGATGACTGTTGCATGGATGTTGCTTTGATCGATGACCAGTCAGCTTTGCAGCACAATTCCTATCTTTTGCTTTATCTATGTGATATGCTGGAACTTTGATGGGCAGGTTTGGTATCTGCTTGTTTCCTCCCACTGTTCTGACATTGTCTTAGCATAATGTGGAGATGGGTAATCAAACGTATTTTCATTCTGGATTTCTTTATTAGAAATGAATATTCATTTTGGAACTTGGAAGACTCGGAGGCTTTCATCAACAGTGTCATAATTGAATTAAAAATCTCTTGGTTTTCTAGGGCTGTAATATGCTTTTGCTGTAAGAGACATACTGTAGCTGTTGCTCCCCATGGATGATCTTCATGCATTTGTGCTCTTCTGATCAGGTAGCCAAAGATGTTTCTGTCAGACTGCACCACGAGCTGGAGAGTGTGGAGGAGAAGCGTGTGAAAGCAGAGGATGAAAATGAAGTCCTTCGGCAGCAAATCATTGAGGTGGAAGTATCCAAGCAGACGCTGCAAAATGAGCTGGACAAGTTAAAAGAGGTAAGCAATTTTCAGGAAAGGCATGCAGAGCAATGTTGGTGGGTTAGATGGGAAATTTGATGCACAGGTTTCTTAGACTAGATCTGACATGAAATGCTTTCCAATATTGCTTGTACAATTGCTCAAAAGGTCTCTTTTGTTACATGTCCCAAATGCAGTGATAGTTTAAAAGCAATAGAGATGTGGATGATGTGGCTTTTGTCTGTGCCTTCTCACAGGGCTTCTGTCCCATTTTAAATTGCCTTCTTAAAACCTCTCTTCCTACTAGAGCAAAACCCTTTGATTTGACTCCAGCTAGCTCTGGCTCTCCTTTGCACAGACTGGGACTTCCACCTACTTGAAAGTCAAATGAGGTGTGCATGACTTGTCTCTGAGAGGATGGTTCAGATAGGCAAGCCGCCGTTTTGGCTGGTACTCTTCAGTGGTGACAGTGGGAGCCACCAGCATGAGCTAGGCAGCAGGAATGTGGTCTGTTATGTATAAATAACATTGCACTTCAGGCACAGAAATGCTGCCTCTTGAGAAAAGGGATCATTTCAACTGGAGCTGACACATAGTCATACTGGGTGAAGTGATGATCCTTGGAAGCAAGTAAGCTGAGGAGCAGGGGACAGTAAAGGAAAGCCAAATACTAAGCATGGCTCTTTACTGGAGCCCACATCCCAATGTGTAGCAGTATTTCTGTTCTCTTAACAGTACAGCAGATTGACATCTCACAGCCTCTGCTCTGTTTTAAACCAGATTGAGATAGAGCATTTAAACATAATGAGGTAAGGCATTTATCCTCTGAGCCCTGGTCAGATTTAGAGAGCTGGTGCAATTATGTGTTATTTTAATCTTTCAAACATTGCTTGCGAGTCAACTGGCACAAAGCCTGGCTCAGTTTTATAAGGACAACACCTATTTAATTTCTCTTGCGTTTGAGTTATCAGTGGTCCAGTGCAAGAGTTTAGGAGCATTTTGTACCTAACAGAACAGATCATCAGCTGGTGTAAATATCAGGGTTGCTTAGATTACTTATGAACCTGACACAAAGGATAAAGTCTGCATGATGTTTTAGCTATTCTTCTTTCTCAATATTATTTGTGAATGCTGTGCTTAATGGACAATACTATGTTACAGGGTCTGCAATCTATACTCCATACAAAAATACCATCTCATTGACAGTCCTGAACATATTGCTTGTTGTTGATTAACATGCAGGTCCACTAAGTACTGCTTGGTCATCTTTGAGATTAAGCAGTTTGAGAAATTAAACTGTGGGTGACCAGTGGGGAAAAAAAGAGGTCCATCAGTGCTGAAGTCTCAAGGTAGCTCTAACCAGGCTGAATTTGCCTTGCTACTTAGATTGCTACAGTCTAGCCATGCTGGGAAGCTCCATTGACTCTGCTGCTTCTCTGCTGCATTGAGAAGCACAGTGAATGCACCCTTACTTTCGAAGCGGGCTTTGCACCCTAAGAGGCAACAGCTGGAGGGGAGCTAGGGAAAGGGAAAGATAGCAGGTATGTAGCCAGAATGATGGGATGCATTCTTCTGATCTGGAGATACAGCAGGGCATAAAATGGATCATAAGATGTAGTAGTAGTAGCAGTAGAGATAATTTGGTTTCTCATGCCATGAGTTGTGGTTTCTCCGGCAGTCGGAATTTCACAAGGTCACAGTAGGTGAGAAGATGGAGGTTTGAGTCCTTGACAGGTCATACTGGGACAGATGAGCCAAAAGCTGGAGAAACACAGCAATGTGTGTGTCAGATAAATATGTGTTGGCAATGTTGTCGACATTGCTAAAAAAAAAGAAACTAGTCTTGACTCAAGATGCGTTCAAATAACTACCAGAAGCAATGCCTTCTTAGAAACATTTAATATGTACAAAGCTCTAAAGGAGCATATTACAGACATGCCAGAGGGAAAGCTAGTGCTTTATATATCAGGAGAAAAGTGACCCAAAGGCCATGTAGCTTCTTCCCAATCCACGCTGACTATGCATCTTGTCTATCTAAAAGCTGACAGTTAGAAGGAGCATTTTTCCTAACCAGTCCTAGAGCATTGCCTGAGGCCCAGTTAGACAGTATTCACTCTCTGATATAGCTCACTGCAAACATATGCTTATTTCCTGTAACATCCTTGACTATTCTCAGCCCTTTTCCTTTATCATCCTCTGATCAACAAAAAGGTTTTCTCACATCCATGTTCATGTTTATTACTTAATTCAGTGCTAGTTTCTGCTTTGGTCTGCTGTACAATTCCCTCGGGTTCAGTTTCTCACTGCAGTAGATGGCATGTATGTTAATTACCTTTAACGTGTTTTGCATGCTGAAATGTCTTTAGTAATTGTACACATCTCTGAAAACCACTCTTTTTTAAAACCACCTTTAGTTTTTACCATAATCTCTTGAAGAATTTCAAACGTTTATCATGTTTAGTGCTGTTGCATATTTTTTATCCCAGTACCTGTTTTCATCTCCTGTGATACTTTTAACAGGATTTCTTTGGTGTAAAATGCATACAGACTCATTCTATCTAAATAAAATTCTTATTTCCTTAAGAAAGAAGCCTTACAGGTTTAACTGGGAAATTATTTTTTTGCCTCCTACTGACCATGTAATTTCAAATTGTTGTAATAAACAGGTATAAGATAGACTTACCTTTGCAAATAATCCTTCACAGTCTCCCCTCCCCTCTCTCTCCTGCTGCTAAAGCACTTCCCTCACCAGTCCCAGATGCTTCTGGATTCCCATTTCATGACATACTTGCAGAAGTTTGTCAAAATCTATCGAAACCACATCTAGACTCTTGTTTTGTTCTGGTATCTGCAAATACTCCCCATCATCAAAATATTCTGATTTTCACTGAATGTTTCTGTAAAGAGCTGTCACATAATCAGTGAATCACTTACAGGTTTTTTAGGGTAATGCCACCTGTTTCCCTTTGTTTTTTACCTTTTTTTTTTTTTTATAAGAGTGCTCTATCCCTTCAGCCTTTTGCTGCATTTCCTGTGTTTTGAGCTAAGATATGAATTGCTAAGGATGTTTAATGAATGCTTGTGGATTTTATCCAATTCTGATGTCTTCCAGCTAGACGTCATTCTTCTCTGAACATCTTCATCAGTATCCTGGCATTCAATTTGCTTATTCATGCCACTCTACTTCCTTTTTTTTCAGTCCTGTTAGCCAAAAGATTATATGGTGCTTTCTTTTCCATAATATTTCATATGGGTTTTTTTAAGATATTATTTGTTTATCATGGTGTAGGTTCATCATCTGCTACTCTTTCCTGAAATACTTCCACTCTTTTGAAGCTGCTTCTTTCACTGGGTAATAATGTTTTCTCACTGAATATTTTTTAACTTTACTGACTGTACTAGGTTTTTCTGTTTCAGTCAAACTGCTGCAGCACTGTGGTTCATTGAATTTTTTCCATGATTACATTCACCTACTTTTTCACTTTTCCTTTTTCATATCTTCCCTTTCTTTTTCTTTTTTTTTTTTTCCTATGAACTTTTCAACTGGTTTGGGGCTGCCGTCTGATACTTTTTTTGCGGCATTCTCCATCAGAGCTTCAGAGTTTTCCTACTGCTGTGAACACTTCTTTGTAGCATATCCTGGAATGTCTCTGAGAATGATCCCTTCTAGGAATTTGCTAGGATTTTCTGTGACTTACGAAAGCTGCTTCCTCCTTACAACTTTAGAAGCAAAGGCAGTGTGCCCTCACAGATTCAATAAGTACACATATCCCTGCCAAGGCTTGCTTGCTTTTTTTCTCTTGTTGTCTGGGTTATTAACATTGCCATTTGAGTCAATACGCTGCCAGGAGAGAAGAAAAAATTACTCCATCACTAACAAATTACCTCAGCAACATCTCTGCAACTGTCATTTCCCCCTTCCTAATATCCTAATGCATCTCCTGAGAAATACTGGTGTATGTTAAGAATTTCTCTCTGTCAACCAACTAGCAAGCATTCAGAACACTTTTTTCCAAAATTTCTTTTCCTTTGCACCAATGCAAAATCCTTATAACTCTCTTCTGAGCATCTACAAACCAGAACTTCTCTCAAAGGCTTGACAGTAGCACGTGGATTTTCTTTGAGAACTGAACATCTCCACTCAACATCTAACTCATCCAAAACATCATTTCCTTGGAGCCACCAGGGCATCTTTAGGGAACTTCTTCCTTATATTTTCTCTGGAAAGATATTTCCCAAATAGATGATCTATTTTTAGTGTAAGTGTAAACAGCTATGAAGTCATGCTTGGCAAGTGTTGAGTGCCCTTATGTACAATGGTCATTAATTGCCCTGTAAGCAATACCTCTCAGAGTAATCCTTTCTCTAAAAACTCTGTACCTTGGGAAGAACAGACCATTTTTGCTACTTATTGTAGAAAATGCACTGAGATGGCACATGAGACAGCAGCAGGACCTGCTCCTGTTCCCCATGGGGAGAATGAGTCAGCTGCTTATTTGCAGCTGCTAATTGTGTGTTTTCTCATGTCCTTTGTCTGGGTTTGGCATTAGCCAGGGTAGAGAGAAGAGGCAGAGCTGTGGCAGCACTGACACTGCTGGGGAAGCGTAGCCCTGCCAGACCAGACAAAGAGAGGGGAGGAATAAGGTCAGGAGTAGCAGCTGCTGAAAGACTTGATGTAAGTACTGTGAAATGGTTTAGCAAGAAAAGAGTGAGAACTGTGTAACTGGGAAGAAAGGGGCATTTATTTCTTGTGTGTTCGCTGTACCGAGCAGGTGACAGCCTCTCTTATTGCCACTGAAAGCAAAAAGACTGGAGGGGGAGCAACCGGAGGTGTTGTTTTCTGTCTTGCAAGGACCTCTGGTGTAGCAGCCACCTCCCATGTGACACTGAGATTTTCTTGGTCATCTCCCAACTTCAGTTGACATCATTTGTGCTTTGAGGCCTCCGGATTGTTGGGACCACTAGAGACACAAGTGCTGTTCTCTGGGCGTGTTCACTCAGGAAATCACTTCTAGTTGATGGAGAATGATGGCTGCAGCTCACATTCACTGGTGTTTTTACAAAGAAGGATAGACGCAAAATGGGAAGTCAAGTAATACTGTTCCCGTTCATTTCTGCATGAGAGGAGAAAAGTACAAATCTACTGTCCATTAGTAATGTCTCCAACACATGTCTCCAGGACACAGACTGAGATGAAAACCAGTACATACTATAAATGGGCTTTCCCAGGTTACCTGTGGGCTTTTTAGGGCAGTGGCATCCCTAAAGGCTCTTTCATCCAAGGCTTACTTGCTAATGGGGATGCTGTGATGCCCAAGCTTACTCTCTCCTCCTCCCCTGCAGCACCTGATTTTCAAGGCACAGTTCAAGAACTGCTGCTTTTAACAATCAAAGAAAATTTTTTGTTAAAATATCTGTTCATTTTAACAGAGTGAAAAGGTGCATTCAGAAGCTTATAAAACTGATAGAGTTATAGAAGATAAGATGAAATGTCTTTCAGGCATATTATTTAGAGACAAATTTTGCTTCTCAGTGCATGTGCACTACTCTGTTTAACATCACTAGAGGTGGAGAGCATTTTGCCGAGGGAAGAATTCAGCTCTATAAACATAATATAGCAAAAGGAAATCTGGAGGCTACTCCTTGGAGCTGAGTGTGACAGTCTGATTTTCATTGCTATGAACCTTATAAGTAGGGCATAATATATGCCACATGAGTGTAAAGTGTGATTATTCCAATCTGAAATCACATTTTCTCTTTTTTCTCTTATATAAATATACAGATATGGTGTGAAGTGATACACAAATGGTGAAGAAATTATTTTTAGTGAAAACACACTTGTTTGTATAAAACATTACCCATATTTTCATTAACTAGGACTTCATACACGTTTATTAATCTATCCTATTATGTTTTTCAATCATTTGTCAAATGAAGTTTACTCACTGAAGTAGGGCTATACTGTGAGAAATCTTTGATTTTTGTAATGTATGACTTTTTTTAGCTATCAATGAGTTTACATGATGGAAAGTTTATGAGAAACAGGGGAAGATTCAAGTAACATTAAAAGGACTAAGCAAAAACACCATGTTGACTCAATAACCCTTCTTAGAACTTAGTGCTTGTGACAGTTATAAGTAATGAAGTCTTGTGCAATAATCATAACTTACCCCATTAACTGCATGAAAGTTTTACCGCGGCACCATTTTGTCTCCAGTATCTTTTTTTTTACTGTGATAAATAATGAATTGGTACCTAAACCACAGTGAATGAATTATACTTGTTATGGCATTTCAGGAGATGTACAGATAGTGAAATGGCCTGTCCCTTATGAGTACCAGCAAACAGGGTGGAGGGAACACATGGGAATGGATCTGGCTGGACTAGAAAAACATAATAATTAGGAAGCAAACTCAGTAACATGATTTTTTTTTTTTCAAAGTAATTATATTATACATCTTCTAATACACTGCCCACTTTGTTTTTTAGAAATATAAAAATATCTTTGAACAAAAGAACACCTGAAATTTTCAAAATGTTTTGAAAATTTGTTATGCTTATAAAGGTCTCTTACGCTTATAAATGCCCCTCCCCAAACAGTATCTGCCTCTGAATTCGTGATTTACCAAATAAATTGCCACCAAGCTTTGGCTAGTCTTTTATTTTCTAGGTATTTGCTATTTTTCCACACTTGCCAGCAATCTGCTATCACTACTTCCAAAT